ATATAAAAGAAATATCCCTCCTAACTGGTATCCTCCCAAACCACAAATCAATGACACCTGTCACATATGTGGTCATATTCTTGACGACGACTACGTCCTTGACCATAATCACGTAAATGGAAAAGTAAGAGGTTACGCCCATTCAACATGTAACTTTAACTATCGTCTACCACATTTTGTTCCTATAATAATCGAAGATTTCGGAATAGAACTGTTAAACTACTTCACCAGTGTCAATGCAAACATAAAATTCATCCCATTCAAGGGACAGATAGAGAAGTTCTTGTGCATATCAAAAAGAATCAAGAACACGACAATGAAGTTTTTAGATTTCTTCCAATTCATCCCTGATGATATACCATTCCATCAAATAGAATCTATACGATCAATCTGTATAGAGAACTATAACCTCGACATATTCCACTACCTGACAATAGGTTCTTACTGTTTCGACGTCATGCTCAAAGTCACTAAAGTCCAAATAGAACTTTTAAACGACATAGACATGTACAACATGATAATGAAAGGAATAAGAGGTGGATATACATCTGCAATTAAAAGCTATGCAAAATCAAACCACCACACTCTTCCAAACTATAATGCCTCAGAACCAGATTCATTTATATACTTTTACGATATAATAGGTCTATACGCCACTATAATGTCAACAGAACCACTTCCACTTGACAATTTCAAATGGATTTCACCATCAACATTTAACCTATACAATAACACCACCAATAATAATAATGGTACAGGTTACATTTTAGAAGTAGATTTAAAATACCCTTACAATACCAATCACATAGACTATCCACCATGCCCTTACCACGATGAAAGTACAGGAGGTACATTAATATCTTCTTTCAAAGATAGAAAGCATTACGTGATCCATTACAAGACCTTAGAACAAGCTCATATTAGCATGATATTAGAAAAAGTCCATAGAGTAATTTCATTTAACCAATCATGTTGGTTAAAACCCTACATAGACATAAACACCCAATTACGAACAACCTACTCACACGACAAAACCCTCTCAAATTTCTTTAAACTGCAATCAAACTTAATCTATGGCAAGTCAATAGAAAAAGTAACTGAAAACCTAAACAAATACTTCCTGTACAACAACACTACGAAACTCATGTACTTAATAAAACAACCCACGTTCATAGACAGACTAATTCTAAATGAAAACAATTATATAATATTCATGAAAAAGAAAAGGGTCCAGTGCAAGAAACCCATACCTGTAGGATTTTCAATACTAGATCTAAGTAAGAGATACATGTACCACATGTATTACAATAACTTGAAAAAGTACTTCCCACCGTTCAATTTAATATACACAGACAACGATTCATTTGCAATACAAGTATTCACTGATACTACTTCATTTACAAAAGATCAACATTTTATTTCTAATACTCTCTTAGGTAAATTCAAAGATATATCTCCTAATAATCCCATTCTAGAATTCATTACAGTAAGAAGTAAAACATACGGGTACAGGACATTGAAAGATACCATACCACGACTAAAGAATTTACCCAAATCTTTTAATTTTACAAACTATAAAAACATACTACTGTCCATTAAAATGTACAACACCTATAACAGAGGAATTGATAATAAACTATACCAAATAATACAGAATAAAGCAGTAATAAAAACACACACCCACACACACACAAATACACACACACACAAATACACACACACACACACACACACACACACACACACACACACACACACACACACACACACACACACACACACACACACACACATAACACAATGACATCATCATCATCATCATGAACAATCACCCTCTCACTCTCACTCTCACTCTCTCACTCACTATCACTCCTCTATCTCCCCTCTCTCTCACTCTCTCTCACTCTCTCTCACTCTCTCAATACCCCTCTTCCTCACCCATTTTCTCTTTCACTCTCACTCTCTCTCTCACTCCCAACTCACATTCTCTCTCTCTCTTTTCAATACCCCTCTTCCTCCCCCATTTTCTCTTTCACTATCTCTCTCACTCACTCACAACCCCAAACATTCTCTATCCCTCTCTCTTTCATTTCCCTATTCCTCATCCATTTACTCTTTCATTCTCTCTCTCTCTTTCATTCTCTCTTTCACTTTCAATAACAATAACTAACACCAACCCTCAACTTTCAATAACAAATACCAATACCATCACACTAACATCTAAAATCAATTCTCCATAAAATCATCTCCTCCCATAACTACTGACAGACTTAAAAAGGTCAAAACCATCCTCAAAAACATAGTAAAAACCGAAAATTACCCAAATGATTTTGATAAGTTTGAGTATGTTTATAGCCTTTCAAACTCAGAACAAAATGGTACAACTCCCATTGCTGTAAAAAGTTTGGTTGAAAGAATATTGTAACAATTTTACTATCACATAAAACCCCATATAATATCGGAAATATAAATTTTGTAAAAAAGCTGCTTTTGATTAAAATTTGTATGTTATGGTCCTTATAATTCTAAAAAAAAGTATCGGTTCAAAAGCTATTGCAAAACTCTGTGATTTTCCCTATAAAATATCATGGTTACTCCCCTGCTGACCATGATAAAGGTTGTTGACAAAATAATTGGAGAAAGTATGTATCAGATTGCTGATAACGTTATTATTTTAGTATTTTAGATTTTTATATTAAATAATGATTTTAAATTATCTATGAAATAATTGACTAAAACCAGAAAGTTTATTAAAACTTTAAAACTTAGAACGTATAACATGCCATACAATTTATTGTTTTGTTAACTATACTGGCATTTAATTTAAATTAATTAAATTAAAAAAATTTTAAAAATAATATAATAACCTGCCTGAATCTATTAAGTCTGCACCTTCCCTCTGGTCATTTAAAAAACATTATCTAAGTTTTTATGTAACAAATGTTGCTATAGGGTCAATTACTCTTTCCGCCGACTTTTGTACGGTTTATATTACTAGTTGATATTCTTAATACTATCGACACTATTTATGTATGTTTTGTACAAAATACATAAAGGATGATTTCATTTGATTTGGTTTGATTTAGTGTTTAATTTCAATAACATCAAACATTGACTGAAGCAATTACCCTGTTAAACTAAAACCAATTACTAGTTTATCTAGTTACTGTTAGCTTGTGGTGATGAGGGTCTCAACAGACTTGACTGTCTCAGAACTCAAGTAGCTGCGTGATTGAATTACCTTTACCTTTGAGAGTTGATCAGTGTATTTCGTGAAATTTCCGATGTGTATAGGATATATCCATGGTCTTTAAAAACGTGGCCTTAGCCACCATCTTTTTGAATCGTTGTAGTAGATTGTGAATCTAAAAGAAATTAAAGTTTGACTACCACTATTAAAAGTAGTAGTTTTGGATACAGTTTTTTTCTGAATCTATATAAATAAAGATGAATCCTTTTTGTATAGTATTCCATTTCTCCAGAACGAGTGCACTGAATTGGATGATTCTTTCCTTGTGGTGTTCCTTAGTGCAATGGGAAAGTTTTTATGTAAGGAAATTTATAATACATCAAACTGCTATTTAGTATTTGATTTTTAAAATAACAAAAAAAATGTCTTTTCATTAGCTCACTCGCTTTAACCTGGAGGTGAGTGAGCGTAGCGACCAAGCTAAACCCGAAGGCGCAGCGAATGAGCTTCAACCAAAAGGTAAGTGAGCGTAGCGAACTAACTTTAACCAGGACGGGATTGAGGAATGCAAACGAGCTTATCCTGACTCAACAAACCTGCTTAGTAAGAAAACTTTCAAAATATTGCTGCAGATAGTAGATAAATGAAGTATTTACTTAAGACTTTTAATAGAGAGTAATAAAAATAAATGGTTGTAGCAGAGATTACATATGCTACGCAAAAAGATATGTAATCTTTGGTTGTAGATACTACTGTAATATTTAACCACACAAAGTAACTATTGTTTCAGTATCACTTTAATTTTACTCTATGTTTCAATCATATTTTGGTCTTAAATGGATAGAAGAGACTCGAAGTTTGTTTTTTGTTCATTCCATGAGAGAAACCTGTAGATTTTGATTTGGAAAACTAGAAAAAACAGCAAACACAAATAGAAGTGACAAACCTCGACATTCCCGTGACTTAGAATCATTAGGTAAAGCTCACGCAGAGTCAGGACAATGTACAAGGCCTGGCGTGATAAGTCCCTTAGTCAGATAAACTTTACAACTAACAGTGTCATGCTAACAAAGAAGAGATTGTTTTTTTTCAGTGATTTTTTATTATATATTCTAGTATATGTCTTCATATAGCAAAAACGTTGATATTGATCAGGATGAAAATAAGGAAAGGATTTTCAACCAGCTGCCTTCTGTTTTTCTGCTGACAAAGCAGAATATTTTTAGGGTTGTGGACTTTTTGGTTATTTAATTTCATCCTAAAATTTAATGTTGGCCAGAATAAAAATTAAAGATCTTCTAGGAAGGACTTTTGACCTGCTGCCATTAAATATTAATATAGATCTTTATGAACAAAACACGTATAAAGTAACATAATAAAAGTTAGATCGGCTTTCGTCTGCCTAAAAACAAAGGTCCGTATACTCTATAGTAAAAAAGTAAAATCAATGGCTTGAGTAAATGGGTAAAAAATAGGTCAATACAATTCACATGTACATTGAGGTTTAGCGTAAAAGACTAAAAATAACTATTCAAAAAGTTAACATAGTTTTCAAATGGAAGGTTACGGTATACCGTAAACTACAAGTTATAGTTTACTAGTTATGGTTAAAAATATTTACTACGATTGATGAATCGGTGGCTCAGTCGTTGGTAGCGCCACGTACCCCAAGGCAGCGATGTCGTGGATCCTGGTTCCTGCCACTACTTTATATCAGTGAGTTTGACTCTTGTACTATACCTACTCACCCCTTGCTGAATAAATTTCACGGTCAGGCCTCTGTAGAGCATGTGGACGGTACCTCGGTGTGATGGTGGACAACCAGTTGAGCTGGAGGGACCAGATCTTCCGTACGGCGGACAAGGCTGCTAGGAGTGTCACTGCTCTTAGTAAGCTTACGGCCAATGTCGGTGGTCCTTGGTCCAGCCGTAGAAGACTCTTTATGTCTGCAGTCCAGTCCGTACTTCTCTACGGCTCTGAGGTGTGGGCAGACGCCCTCAACGAGGAAGAGTACAGGTTGAAGCTGGCACAAATGCAGCGTCAGGTGGCACTCAGGGTCGCTTCCGCGTACCGTACGGCAGTTTTGGTTATTGCTGGAGTTATCCCTGTTAAACTCTTAGCAGCAAAGTGGAAGACAATCTACCAGAGACAATGCTACATCGGGAAGGAAGCTACAAGAACGGAATAGCGCTCCTACACTTTTCAGATCTAGCAGGAAATCTGGGAAAGAGAGACTCGAGGTCGTTGGACTGCCAGACTCATCAGACAGGTCCAACCGTGGGTGGAACGGCGGCACGGTTCACTACTATCTCACGCAGTTCTTGTCAGGTCATTGCTATTTTCAGTCGTACCCGCCCTTGATGGCCAAAATGAATTCACCTGACTGTATTTACTGTCCATGCATTCCCGACGACGTGGTCACACTTTCTTCCACTGTCCACGATGGGATTTGCTCTGCCGGTAGGCCATTCAACATCTTGGGGTGCTGTTGGTTGAATCGATTTGTGAGACCTTGCTGGAGGGTGAGGACAACTGGGACTACTGGTCACACTTTGTCCGGAATATTCTTTAAGTGAAAAAGAATAATCTAGATCGTCAACGGATCACAGTCTAGATCGTGTAAGAAATGAACAGCTAGACAAGGAGTAAGCCCGTTGGGCAGTGTTTTGTAAATATATCATCACAAATGTGCCCCCCTTACATTACGAAAATATTTTATTACTAAAGAAGAAACCTGACAAAGGTTTGGTAGGCAATATGCCTATACGTTGCCTTACCAAAAAAATTATTTTATTGTGCTTTTTGAAAACTATACCCACTACTAAAGTTACTTGATAAGTTGGGTTATATTTGAAAATTATTTATTATATGACATGTTAAGAAGTAGGTTACTGTAGGTTAAATATTTTTTCCTACTACTATTGCTGGCATTGTATCAAACTGCTTAGTTGTTACGGTTCTTTGTGTTAACATGTATTGACATTGCAATAGCTTTTAAAAGCCTCTCTCAAATATTTACTCTAGAGAGCATAGCTTAAAATAAAGGTACGTGTAATTGGTAATAAAAAAATATAAATGTTCATTGTTTATGGAATTTCTTATAGGAATTTACTTATTGTTGAGGCATTCGGCTTTTGTTACCATTTTGAAACAGATCCCCCTTTACCCTAAGTCTTAACCCAGACTGCTCCTATGTATTTTCCGATGTATTTTACTAGTGTCATTTTGTAAGCTGAACTCATACATGTTATTCACTACTGAATGTGCAAACTTATATTTGACAGATAATTTGTTTAGCATGATTAAACATATACAACCAAATGTATAACTTATCAGAGTTTTAAACACGCATATGTTTTTTGTTTTGAGGTAGTAAGAAAGGGTCAACGTTTTTTCCATTCTTTTAATAATTGTATTATTTATTATTACCCTGCTTGGCTGAATATATAACCTTTTCAACATGAAATAAATCATGTATATGTATACATGATATGTAGTATGAACTTAACGAATTGCTGAATTTACGAATTCCTAACGACATAATTTTTAGTAGTAAGTAAAATAGGTTCGGACCAAAAATTACACTATTTGATACAACCACGGTTTGGGCGAGACGAAGCGAAGGCGAGAAAATGTTCACCACATGGGTAATATTTTCACTCCGGGAAGCATGATGATAGCTTTATCCTGCAGGGTCAGTGAAACGTGACCGTTGGTTTGGGCAGCGTTTGTGTAGAATATGTTACACTAACAGGAAACTACTGTTAATATTGTGCAAACAACTTTCTAGATTTTAATAACAATAAATATTTTTTGAGAAAAATGAATACAACCTTTAACTTTTTAAAGAAAAGTTTATGATATATACAATGTTTTGATCAGTTTTTGGATCACTGTAAAAATTTCCTGGAATGTCCTCGTATAAACTAGACGAGTAGAAAAAAGTTGTAGCATTCGCCAGTATCACAACACATGTTTTGTTCTGGCCTAGTATAGAGTCGTCTCTTTATTTTTCAAGAGGGAGTACTTTGTTTTTAAGACTCCCTTTGGGTTTACTCTGAAATCAACTGTTTTATGCTCGGCTTGCCGACATTTATTGTTGTAGTTCCAGTTGCCTAATTATACTAGTATTTCTTAAAACTGTCGTTAAAAAATTTATATTTCCAATGAAATTTATTTTAACCAAACAGTTTTCTTAAGAGGTATGAGATCATAAACATTTTAATATGGATTTAGTGGAAGCTATTATTGAGAATGGTAACATTGAGAATTTGCTCTATCCAATTATTAATAAAGCTGCAAAAAACACGTTACATTACTTTTACTGTTGAAATACTCCACAGACATTTTGATAAAAATGAATTACTCGAATATCTGTTTATTCAAGTTTTAATCTATGTAATAACTGTCTTACCAATAAGCTCTACAGTATGTGAAATTAAGGAAAAAATGAAACACTATTCCTTTACTCATTTGGGTTCAGATGAACTATATTATTCAAGGCACTGATTAAATTGAAATCCACTACCAGAAAATACGAAGTACCACTGTAGAAACTGTTTATAAACGTAGCAAAATCACCATAAAAACTTAATAATGTATTCCAAATGAAAAATAACAAACGTTGAATATGACGTTAAATGTATTTACTATATCTGCATAAATTTCAGTGAGACATATTTTATTTATCTGAAAGGGGTTATTATAAGCTGAAAGATACTGATAGTATCTAAACCAATATGGTGTCCAAAGAAATCGGTTTGATAAATAAATGTTTTATGTTGTTTTTTGTCTTAATTATTACATAGAAAAGGTTTTTAAAGTATAATTTTATTAGAGATCATCTATTACAATTATCTCAGATAAGAATTTGATAAGGAATGCGAGGCATCGCCGAGTCATTTACTACTCATACTACTCACGTTCTTTGCGAATCTCTCACCTGACCAATATTAAGGAAATATATAAAATTTATAGAAGTATTCCCTACAAAAAATATAACAAGAGTTAGCTCAGCTTGACTGACAGGCATGTGGTTCATTATGCAATACCTAATATGCAATACACTGAAGTAATTAATGCCCGATGGAAGGCTTTGCATAGTTACAATAATTAGAATTGCATTGGTGTGTTTGTAACCCAAATAGCTCATATTTCAAATCCTGGGTAAATTTTAATTGGAGATCAGGTTCAAAGTTAATTACATAGCTTCATGTTTGCCATTCAAATATATTTCGTCCAACCAAACGTGTTTAGTATAAAGTCAACTACTAATTTTAATTGTTTTCATTAATTTAAGCTGAATTAGTTGAACTTGGATTAATTTAATATTCTTAATTAAATAAAAAAACACCTTATACAGAAGAATGTACGTGAGTAAACCATTGTAAATTTGACATGTTTCATGGTAACAGTTGTATTGATTTTATTGAGTTTACAGTGCTGTTTAATTTGTATATCTCCTAACGGTATGAACACAATTATTAAAAATATAACCTTAGCTCATAGTATTTAGCTAATACGACATAATTATAGGTAAAACAAAGTGGGAAACATATGCTACTAAGCAGGACATATGCCCATTTATTTTTAATGCATATCTACAGATTTTCAATGTAAATCTATGACTTTTAATCTTTAAAACAGTCACAAATGGATAAACAGTCATCACTACAGGAGTAAGTTGATGAACAAAAGTTGAATTTGCTTCGTTCTTTCGTTCCTGTTAATCAAATTCCTTTACGGTATTCGCATTTTTCCTGCACAACATACCGTAAGCTTTTATTACCTTGCAGCCACAACCTCAACACTTCACTTATCAAGCTGTTAGCATTTCCCTTAATTACGTAATTTTTTAACAAAACCGGGTTGATCCACTGGGTGTATTTAGGTGTCGAGAAACATTTAGCCATATTCAGAAGTGACATGTGCCATGGCGGGAAAATTCTGTCGATCACCGTCAACAGCTGACTCGCTACAGCTGGCAAATGAATTAAACAACGAATCAGTAGTACAGAGAATAAGTATGGTGACAGATTGAGCACATCTATTGCTTATGACTTTTAAACATATTCCCACTTAAATGTGTTATTACTATTATGAATTTCATTAAAGTGTCACAATGGCAATTGTTAAATAATAATATTACTATGTGGTCAATGTGATAGCTCAAAGATTATTGAAATTACGATTAGTAGACTAAACGAGTATTGTTAGTTTTATAAAATACAGAAATATTTATTCACTCTGTAAACTAGTTCCAATGTATTCATTCAATTACAATTGAATATTTTACAAAATAACTATGTTAGGTTTCTTTTTTACTTCATCGGCTTATTTGCATATCTAATACGCACGAAAATGGACTGTAATGTAAAAGTATAGAGAAAATACTGTTAAAGCTGTAGATTATAAAAAAAACTGTGCTTATTATTAACTTTATGATGGTTGATAACCAGATATGATGACGTATTCATTATTCTTCGTCATGATAATAACCTGTTTAGTGTTTGGTCGTCTATACAACAATGCATCCTGTCCAGTATTAAGCCTGTGACAAAGGCTGTGGCTGGCAATATTAGATCATTACGGTACTAAGTGCTAATCAAATGACTTTTCTCTATGAACAGTCTTAAGTAGTAGGCTTTTTAATTACGTCCTTAGAAACACAATCTTCTTAAAACATTTTTGATCAATGGTTCATAAGATATGTTGTTTTTTTTTCAAAAGAAAATCGTATTTTAAGAATGTTGAATACACCCTAAAAATTACAATTAAAAGGGAGGCCTATAATTATTTTTTTTTGTTATCTTTTTTCTATTATCAAATTATACGGGAAATAAATAGTATGATTACCAAAAAAAGCGTTTTCTAAAACACCCTTTTTGTCGTACGTCATTATTAGACCAATGACAAATCTTTTTAATTATTATTATTAATTTTAAAGCACCGCCATACAGATAATATTTTTGTTTCTAACTGTCGTTACTTTAACTGTTCATTATAAATATATATTTATGTTTTTCTTTATTGCTTTATTTTACTCTTCCAAAAAAGTTGAATTATTTTTACCTTCTTAATTAGATATGGTGAATTAAACCGCCAAAAGACATATTTATAACAAATTTCAAAATGTTTTTACAATTAATTTTAGCTGTCCGCCAGTCTTTTGCATAAGTGTTGGCAGCT